GAGCCCCTAGTAGCGTCCTTGCTCCTAGTAGTAAGGCCAGGAGCCCCAGCTTCTTGTTACTAGTAGCGATGCCAGGAGCCCCTGGTAGCTGTCCTTCGCCCCCCGTCGCCGCTTCGCCCCAGAGCCGCCTCAATCTGCGTGTGTTTCTGTGCCAGTTCCGCTCGGAGCCGCTCGATGAGCTGCTGGCTGAAAACCAAATCCTCCTCGGCCCCAGCGGCCTCAGAGCTCACATCGGTGACCATCAATGGCGTGAAAATCGCTCTGGGGACCCAGACGTTGTGGTCACCAATGGTTTTGAAGCAGTCATCACAAACCCTGACCTGGGCTGAGAAACTCAGTCTGGCCAAATCTCTGATTGCTGTATGTCACCGAAAAAGAGCGCCTCCCCACAAATGTCTATTCAAACTCTCAGCTGCTTCGTCTTTTACTTTAGTTTAGTCAGAGCGACTTCTGAGTTCCTGGCAATCCCCAGTGAGAGATCCCTTGGGATTCGGGTGCGGTTCCTGGCGGCCCATCTGGCTGAAAGAGCCAAGGCTCACAAGAGCGAAAGGGTGTCCTTACGGTTCGCGAGTCGACTTGCAGGGATGGAAACAGCAAATCAATTTCGAGATAAAGCTTTGAGAGAAATAGATTTTTTGATATCTCAAGGTCCAGGAAACAACAATACAAAGACCTCGGCAAGTTGTCGATCAGTCGTCGGCCTGCTACAGTCATCGCAGACCAAGCCCCCGCAGTTCCGGCAATGGTGCCGCCTACCAACGTGGCACAAGGCTTCATATTCGCAAATAGCCAAATGGGAAATAAAGTTGATCCCATCTGACGGCATTTTGGCTGGTGTTTTCCTAGTCCTGGGCATCAGCTGTTCTGACCTCCTTTGGGCTTTGTGGCCCCCGTGCTAGCTAAGTGTGCCAGCCTGAAGTATGTCGTGAACTGCGATCGGCAACGAGGGCAATGGGTCTCCTGGCGCGGCAGCATGGGCCCAACGAACCCACTCCAATCGCTGGCGCGTCAAGCCAACAGCGCTGTCCTTTCCATCAGCCTGACCAAAGGAAAGCGCTCACGTCAAGTGCAACAAAGCCAAAGCTTTGAGTGGCTTGATAGAAGAGAACATGACAAAGTACCTCACATCTCAGCGAGTGGCCCCTCAAGCATCAAAGCGCCTGCCCGTCATCTGAGCCAATCAAGGAAGATGTCGGCGTTGGACCATTGACCGACATCTATTTCACCAGGCTGAGCTGCGTGATTGTCCGACTTTAACACAAGTATGACGGATCGGTCTTGCAAAAGAAGAATGACAAGCTTCTGTCAATGTCTGCCCTCCCACATGTACTGTAGTGTTGAATCAAGCCTTTTTGCTGTTTGGCTGTTAGAGGAAGGATGCTATGCTATAGTTTTCCAACCATGGATCAGTTGCTCCCTCCATGTTTACTAGTGCATCCTGGTAGCACAAAGAAAGCGCTGAGCAAGGTGGTATGCAAGGATCTTGAGCTCTTCTAGCATCAGCGAAAATACTCTCAAGCCTCCTAGTGAGGTGAGGGAGCTTCAAGAAATCCTGCACCCAGTCAGTGGAGGCGAAGCATACAGCGCCGTCCAGTGACAAAGGACTGGTGGGACATCAAGCGGAGTGAGGCAATTCTTTTTCATAGGCATGGGGCTGTTGGAGGGATGGTTCACAAGGTCTCGCTGCAAAAAAAACATTGTGAACATGTAAGACACACGAACAGCAATGACCAACCTTAGCTTGTGAATCTGTTGAATCTGTTGCATCGTATCCCAAAACCTCCACGGAGGAGTTGAACCAAAGTGGATGCCATAAGAGGTGTCCAAGAGGTGTCCCAGAGGCGTTTCAGGGGGGAGTTGAACCCGCGCGGAGGGGCGGGCCTCTACATATGAAGTTTTCACGTGATGCGGCGATCTCGAGGATTCCAGCCCCTCACTTGCTAAAGCAAGGACAACTCCAGCTAGCTGGTGCTAGCTTTCGTGAATAGAAACTGGTTCTTGCATGTTTGCGAATGGAGTTACATTTGGAACACTTCCTTCAACCATACCAACTCATGCAAATCATCTGAGTATAATGGCAATGGCCTTCACCCTAGTAGCAATAGCCTCCAACCTAATAGCGATGGCCTCCAACCTAATAGCAATGGCCTCCAACCCAATAGCAATGGCCTCCAACCTAGTATCATGAGAATAGATAGCATTCTTCTGAATTCTAAACCAATGTAGACAGAAGTTCTAGCGATTGGTATATAATCCAGGTTTACCAGGTATACCACACTTGCATGTATGGCAGGAGGGTATACAGTAACCATTCTCTGTCTCGAATGTGTCCCGCGATTTTCAGTTGCAAAATCACAAAATCTCATCAACCCCCTAGTGTGCCCTTTTTAGATTTGTGCCACAACACGGTGGAATAAACTAAGGTGAGACGGAAGTTTTCAGGACAAGCTCTGTCCATGACGGTCATGGCGGGAAGCCCGCCAGGGCCAAGAACTTTTGTTGGGAAGTGAAGTGAGTGGCTTTAGAAAGTTGAACAAATGCAGGAGGGCTTGCCGCAACTTGACATGTACAAGTGCTGGCATATAAGCGCTTCAAACCTTCTGTTTGAGAAGTGGCCGAGCACAACTACATGGCATGCAAGCTTTCTTGCACACCTTCTTTCCATATTGATCTCTGAACTGACTGTGCAAAAAGCGGTTGAAAACCGGTCCTCGGGGTGATTGCAGGCTTGCTGTATCTTGAACTTGGCCACCTCTTCCTCTTACCCCTTGTAACTATACAAATATATAACACTGCTTCCTTTATCTTGCTTCACTATATACGCCTTCGGGTCTTAGGTTGGGAGGATCCCAACGTTCAAAACAAAGATCCGTCAGGCTACGACCGTGACGCTTCGTGAGACCCAAGCCCACAATCTTAAGCAAGCCACCCACCGAAAAACACCGATCAATTACGCGGCGAAAATCGCACTGGGCCGCCAGCAATACAACAAAACAGCGGAGGGCCACAGTGGCATCCCGCAATGTAGACACCATTTCTGGGCCTTTTGGACACTTGCTATGACGTTACTGTATATAAGGGGTGTCTTGCGCGGGGAGACTTTGCCATGGTACTTTGGTTCAGGAGCCAAAGCAAGCCCAACCCAAATGAAGCAAATGTCACCAAAAGAAATAACTTGTGCATCACTGGCTCCTTGGGGTGTGTTTGCCTTTGTTCATCTGCGCTGGGCTTGTAACTAGCCAGGCACGAGCGCCGGGATTGACCAGGTTGTTCTTCCACGACGGCTTAGCCCTGCACACACCAGACTGTCATGTTTGCGCACCAGAATGTCACCTTGCAAAAACCACTAATTAATGTACAAGTCGGACCCTTTCTGGACATAGCGTGGCTGGCGACTTCAATGCTGAAAGAAGACTTTGGATCGTGAAAAAAGCAACCAACACCCGATGCCGGTCGTTGCCTTATGCCGGCCCTTTCCTTTGCTTTGTCTGTCCTCCCACAAATCCAACACAAACGTTGTGCACTGAACGGCACTGGCGTGAGGCCATGACCAAATGGGAGGGGAACCAGCTGTTTGGAACGAGACATGTGCACTGAACTGCGAAGTCTGTCTGTTGCGCTCTTGGAATGTCCTGACCACCTTTTGCCTTATGCCCACTGCATCCTGGATGCACGCAATGCGAGTGAATGTCTGCGAAAGGAAGAACAGGACGTTTGTCTGGAGTCTGGGGTTCTGCGTCAAAAAGTGAAACCACATGACATTGGATTTTGATGGATTTTGCACGGTACAAGTATGTGAAAGGGAGCCATGGTCATCTCTTGACCCGCTTGACCCCTTCTAACAAGCGAACGTGGTGGTATGGGTAACATATGAAGGTGGTTACAGTATCCAAGTGTGTCAAGGGAAAAATTTAGTTCACAACGTTGCAGTACTTGGAGTCGGTTACGGTGCACACATTGACAAGCATGGGAGGTCCAACAATTCCTATTGACCACGACACCCAGCTACCTTGAGAACAATAGCAAACGATTACCAAAAGATTACCCTTTGGGAGGCGTGAACTTCCTACTTGTTGCAACATGTGGGTCAGGAGGGACTCAGATTGCTTTCCTTCCTGGGTCACTGCTAAGCCCCGCATGTTGGGTAAAGGACTGGGTCAGGAACTCAATTTGCCAATTGACTCAATTGACCTGGCGACCACCCGGCTTTGTCGACTTGAGATCGCCAACAAAAAGGGTCGAGTGGCGAAGGGCACAGAAGGGGAGTCGGATTTCCAGGAAGTCAACAAGCTTGCTGAACGCTGAACACGTTTGCACAGTTATATCTGCCTGGGCGGAAGTATTTCAATCGTTTAATTTATATAGTTATATATCCACATAAACATCATCGCTTTGATCTCACAATCCAAGCATAGCTTCATGGGAAATGCGCTCGCGGCCGTTCCTCGAAAGCCACACTCAGTTCAGTGACTATGGCATGTATTGCACGGCATCGCCTCCACATCTTGGTACATGAACCCCTTTCGATTAGGCTTTTGTGCCGCGGTTGGGAGACCATGACCATGAAAACCATGCCTTGATGTTCATCCAGAATCCAAGCGAAAGGTGATCAAAATGTGCGCCAGCGCCATTTATTCCATCGCTATTGTGATCCTACCGTCAATCGCAGGGTGAAGAAACCGACCAGGCCATCGCTACTAGGGTGGAGGCCATCGCTAGTAGGTTGGAGGCCATTACTACTAGAAACAAGAAGCTACTAGTAACAAAGGGCATTTGTGTGATCCCCACTGAAGAGCTTTAGAGACCGCAGCTCATGGAACGGGTCAATCGAAGCATCGCGCCTGGATCCCCCGCGGCTCCGAAGCCTGCATTGGTCATTCCCGGTTGCAGGGGCTGTGGCCTCGCAAAAGGTGCGGAATGACTCACATTCGGAGAAAACGTAGAAGATGCTACTTGAGGGACTTGAGGGCATCTGGAATTATTTTTGCTTCATGGTTCTTTTGACACACGGCGGGCTTTGACCGTTCCATTTTGACTTTCACTCTTCGTTCTCAAAAGAATTGGGGCTTGGAACCTTGTGTTGCATGTTGTTCTTCTTCCTTCGAAAGCAGGGCATCACCTGACTTATTCTTACCTTGACATCGCCTTTCTTGTTGGGAAAAGAATGAACCCATTCGATATCATCCTCTCAACAACTTTGCTTCAATATTCCGTCACCACCCCCTCCCACGCCACACCACAGTCCCAGCAATGGCGAGCCTGGCGTCAGCCAGGCCCTCAGCCAAAATGCTCAGGTCGAGACCATGAGAGAACGATCTTAGGAAACACAAAAACAAAGGGGAGAGAGAGCTGCCAGCTACCCTGAGCTTTGATCCTCAACTTGTTCATGACTTGGGATCATGATGAAACAGACCTGCACTCTGCTGGCTATGATCCATGACACCAGCGATCATCGCCACGGGACAAAAAGCTACCACTGACGGAGAACAAACATCAGAACAAAGACTGATCCCGAAGTTAAACCTGTTTTTACATGTAAAAACATGCATTGTCACCAAAATCTAAGTCCAATATCGTGGAGCTGCTCCCCCCGAAGGCTCAACATCTGTGGAGCCCCCACGGCAGCTGCCTGTGCAGCCGCAGCATGCTGTGCAGCGTGCGCATGAAGGAGCTGCTCCTCCGGAGACCTGGACCACAAACCAAAGAGCATACGAAGGCCCTGAAGAAAGGCCCTGAAGGTTCCAAAGATCCTGGTTTGGGGCATTTTCCTTTTGACTATATATATATATATATAGTTCGACCCGGGTGAGTGCCTCTCTGAAATCGAGAAAAAGTGCTCTGAGGAGTTGGCATGGAGGGTCGCAGAGACGGTCTCCAACCTGCTTCTGCATTGGAGCGTGATGGAGAGGGCTGCAATTTGTCACGTCAGGGCCATTCAAACGTTCTCGTGTCTGCGTTGGTCTCATTCTGGACCCCTAGAATGGCTGTCTAAGTGGGGCAGAATTCATCACTGTAGGTGACAGGATGGTGGAACGAGTGTGATGAGGAGTAAAGGTGGGCCAAAGAAGAATGGCTGCAACCATCGCTTCTGGCTCAGGAAGGTGGAACAAGAGAAGCATTTCACCATACCATTCGTCAACCCGCTTAATTTGGGCCTCCAGATTGAGCTCCAGCTGCTCCCGGCTTGGCAGCGGCATACGCGGCTGGCCAAAAACGGAAGATCGTGGCGAAGCGGGTGACAGGCGACAGGTGGAGGACCCAGAAAATCTAGGAACCAAATGATTGGTGTGAGCGCTTGTTCAAGGAAGCTCCCCCCGCCCTCGGGCGGAGGGAGCTTCCTTGAGAACGTGAGCTATCCTGTGTCCGTATGCAGGAGCTTCCTATTGCTAGTAGATTACTTGCTTACTAGCCTCCTTTACTCAATTAAGTAAGGAGGCAGGGCCACTCGGGGCAAAAAGAAAGTACTTCCAACGGATCATCATGGAAAATCCATGAAAATCCTGCTTGGATCGTCCTGCAAGGTCCACCTGCTGCGCAGGATGGTCCTCTCATAGACCCGTTTTCGGATATGGCAAAAAGGATGTGTCCACTCCGATAGAAAAAGAATGTCTTGCGTGAACGATTCTTCAATGGTGACCTGTATAGAAGAAGAGGTTTCCTCAAGTCGTTCCCTCAAGTCAGATCCCCTGGAACTTCATTCGGCGAACAACGTACGAGGACTCCCCCATACACAAGCAAAATATAAGGATATAAGGTCAACTCCAAAAGCAATCACTGGGCGGACCCATTTCCAGGTAGAAGTGGGTTCGCTGGTTCGCTGGTGCAAATATGCATTGAAGGAGGTCTCCAATTTTGTCAAAGGCCCTGTCACAGAACTGGTCTCACCTGCAAGATCTGGCGGCAAAGAGCTCATCTGGCTCAGAGCTCCTTGAGATCTGCGAGGGCACCAAACATCCAGGTGTTTAACCAAAACCATGGTCAAGAGAAGCTCCAAGGTCCACTGCCCTGTTTGCAAGAACTTGAAGACTGGTTCACAGTCCACGAAGTTGGGACCAAGCAGTTCAGTTCCAGAAAGAGATTCTTTCTAAGGTGTAACAAGTAATTGTGTGCGTCAATTTCAAGAAGGAACACAAAATCTGGGCCGACCTTCGTTCCATACGATATGACCTTCGTTCTCCGTTTCACTCCAGTTTCATGGTTGGCCATTAGGACCTTCGTCGACCGACTCGCAGCTCCTAACACGGGATTGAGTCTTGGATCTCCCAGGCCTGCGAGATCTTGCTTTTGTTCTGCACTCTGTTGATTGAGAGAACACACTTGCACAAATAAAATACAACCTGCGAGGACTGTTGCACAAGTGTCAAGGAAGCATGTCTGCTCTTGCTTTGAAGGTACCTGAAAACATCCCGAAAGTATCTGGGAAATGACTGCTCTGGACAACACGTGCTCAGGACTGGCCACAAGGGCTTGGCCTACTCCATGAGGGGTGCCAGGAACCTCAGCTTCGAAACTCTTTTTCCCAGTCCAGCATCTCAAACATTTGCACTTTCCAAAGAATGAGCATTCCATAGCCTTCCCATACATTTCGTCTTCCATAAAGAGAAAAGTAAAAGTAATACAGTAATAATTGGCATCAAGAGCTAGAATCTGGTAAACCTACATAGGCATCCCAGCAATCTCCTCGAACCAAGAAAAAACCATCAAAATCGCCCCCTGCGTCCGGAGAGTGAGAGAATCAGTTGATACTTGGACAAGAAAATATCGTGTCTAAAGAAAGGGACGTGGCTGGGATCATCACTCAATTGAGGATATCTCAGTACCTCTACGATTGGATCATGAAAATATGTGAAAATAGGGGGTAGTTTGGACCCTCAATGACCACCCGAAACAGACTGACAAGGCCAACCCGCGTTTCTTGGCCAAGAAACTCCATAGCCTCGTCCCCGAAATCCACCTTGCAGCGCTGCCGCGCTGGCCTTATGCCGCTGAAGACCCGAACAACGATTTCAAGCAATCTGAGAGGCAAACAAACACATCCGAGCCTTTCCTCAACATCTTGAAGAAATTGAATCTATTATATATATATATAAAAGAACACAGCAGCCGCCCCTTTTTCCCACAATCTTGAGCCAAACATGTCCGGTGAAGTGAAACGTCAATGACTGGATCATGTGATGGCTACATTCATTAAGATTCCTATGACTTGCATGTCAAGTGATACACAGTGCTTAGTGACACATCGAATGCAAAGCTTGCCTGCAGAGATGCTCTTTGGTTGTTCATGGACTGCTTCAAGGACTGCTTCCCCTGGCGTGCCAGATGCATCGACCAGGGTGCTTTGCTAGTGGATTAGGGGTGGTGGTTTCACCCCATGTCTCTCTCCTCCCCCTTCACACATTAACAGCTTCAGTGGAAGATGGGTGCCTCGAGAGATTTGGATCCACGACGCCTAAAAGCTCCAAGGCGTGACTCCATTTAGAAACCGGCAACGGCTTCGTGAAGGGATCAGCCTTTTGATGGTCCGTTTTTATATAAAGCAATTTGGCACTACCATTTGCGAACGTCTCGTATAGAGAAGAAAGGTTGATTCGATGGTGCTTCGAAACATGTCGGAGCTTGGGGCTATAGCCCTGGCCGCATATGGTTATGACGGCGCTGTTATCCTGGAAACACACCAATTCAATTTCTCTTCTAAACACTTCCTCAACGAATTCGGCAACTGGCAAAGCGTCAAATACGCCGTGCGCAAGTGATATGATCTCGGCCTCTGTGGTCGATTGTGCAGTGGCACCCTGTCGCTTACTGTGCCACGACAGTGGCCAGTAAGACCCCGGTCCTTGCAGACACAGCAAACCACCAGAGGTGCTCTTTGCATCCTCTACCGCGCTTGAGTGGTCCGCGTCGGTATACAAGACCAGTTGTAGGTCTTCCTGACGATCTGCGATTTTGCCCTTCAGGCAGAACGCCTTGGTCTCGAACAGATAGTTCATCAATCTGTGCAAGCGGCGGTCATCGGCGCGACTCCACTTCGTGACACGGCGGGTGAGATCCCCAATTGCCTTTACCGTGTCCGGCCTGGCAAGTCTGCCCGCCCAAAGGACTTTCATCAAGACCTTACTAGCATCACTTGCTAAAGCACCGCGCTCCTCCCATTCATTCACTGGAATGGAACCTTCTGGCAAGTACGGAGACGCAGCGCCTTTCAATGGCATCCCTGACAGGTTTTCATACATTTGGCATGCTGAGTTGATGAAATCTACCATGTCGAAATAAACCTCAGTCACTCCGTTTTCACGTTTGAACAAATGCTTTCTGCCAAGACAACGATCCACTGGGGTCGGTTCTTCTATTTCAAGGTGTTTTTGCAGGTTCTCCCAGAATCCTTTGTGCAAACCTGATGGCCCTGAAAGCAAGATATCATCAACGTACAATGTGAGGACTAGACCATTTTCAAAGGTCCAATTCGACTGGTTGTCTCTGTCAGCTTTACCTCCCATGAGTCCCATCACTTCACGGAATCTTGCGTCCCAGTGGAAACCCGATTCAGGGTGTCCGTATAGCGCTTTCTTCAGGGGCGCTACTGGCATTTTTATGTGAGCGAACTCCTTTGGCACTAACTCTGGTGGAAGTAGCACCCAAGTGTCCACCACAGTTCGCAAGACACTTTGAGTGTATGCACGCACAACGTCCGACTGGGAACTTTCATTTCCTGGAAGTGCACCATAGCTCAAGTTGAAGTTTATAGCTGTGATTCCTGAGGGATTCACTTTGAGTTCCTGCAGGATGGCGATGTTGTTGTCTTGGTCAACAATTTGATCGCCTCTGAACACAATTCTGGCTTTCAACTTTCGCAATTCTGGACTTTCGGCGTGCTTCATGGACAGGATTGTCATGAGACGACCTAGGTTGTATTTACCACCCGACTTCATTAGTTCTTCTTTGGAAATGATTTTACTAACATCCCAAACTTCATTTGCTAGAAGACCATCCAACTCTTTCTTGATAGCTTGATCAGCCCCCGGATACTTTCCCCAATCTCGACGATCAATCAATTGATGAACACCTAAGGGAATTTCATGCGGGACATGTTCTGACTGAACAAACGGACAAGTCGGCATGATTGGGACGGAATCACCATCAGGATACAAGCTGTTCGAGATTGTTTGCGCCATCCTTTCAGTGTAGAAGGCTGACTTCCCTGTGCTTGAACCCTCCAAAGGACTGTGTTTGAAGTCTTTTGGGTGTTGGCATCGGTATGCACCAAGGTCTTTTGCCAACTTTCTTGATGAGGTTACGACTCTCCACGTCTTCAGATGTGGCTCTCCTTTACTGTCTTTCAAATCAAAGGCACAGCCGTCACAGCATGTCTCATACAAATCATGTTTCTTGACAAACTGCAAAAGCTCTGTCAACATCCAACCTTCGCAATGTTTGGGCCATTCGAAAGCAACATGTCCTCCGTTCTGGAGAATTCTCTCGGCAACCTTCATGTAGTTAGCTAAGAGTTTCTTGCTTGTCTTTCTCTTGGCTTTCAATTTCTTTGCGTAGGATGAACCATATCGATGCAGACACATTTTCTGCCAAGGACTCCACGAACTACATGGAATGCTTCCCCAAAGGTCAGCCCCCTTGAACATGTCTACCAACGACAAAAGGCTCTTGATGTCTTCTTCATTTTCCAAGTTGGTTTGTTCCCGATGCAACCTGAAATGTGGGACCCCCCTTGATTCATTAATATCTCCTAACTTTGAGTCTTTGCTGCAGCAGAATTCAAACATTGCATGGCTTTTGCCGGACCTAATCCTCCTTTCACGGGATGGCTTCAATGTCTGAACGTTTTTGACTTCTGCAGGGACCGGAGTTAAACCAAGGATCGACGTGACAGCATCAAGCCCTCGAGCAGGTTCTTTCTCGACATTGCTAGTCATGGTCATGATTCTTGCTTTCACATTTTCAGGCTTCTTCTTTGGGAAGAAGTATGTGCATCCTACCCAACTTCTTGAACAAATGCGCCTGTTCGGTGACATGGATTGCCAATCATCTGCAAACAGTGAAGTCTTGTTCCTACAAGTCCAAACAGTTTGACGTTCTGTTGTCACTTCGAACGAATCGAAAGGACAGTCATTTCCAAGCGGTGTGAACAAACGCTTCCTCGGACGGACGTGGATTCTCTTCCATGCAGCTTTGGCCTCATCAAAGTCCCAATAGTCATTCAGTGCCTCAGCATTACAGCAATCCACGAGAGAAGCCTGCAGCTTGCTCTCCTGGCCTTCAGGCAGGACAATGGGATTTTCTCTGAATTTTTGGCGGCTACACTTGTCCTTCAAGGCGTGCATCGAAATGTCCACAGCCTCTTCTGATTTCTCTTTGTCTTTCTTCGAATCTGACTCTTTGGCTAGTCTCTCGTCTTCCAAGAGTTTGCCAATCCTTGCGTGGCATTCATCGCTGTGCCTCACGCCTTCTGCGATTCTGTCGCAGCCTTTGCAACCTACAGTCTTTCCGAACCTAATGCATCTCTCCAATGTTACATAAGGCCTGCGTTTGCGTTTGGCTGGCTCGGGAGGATCCTCTCCAAAGGGCAACGACTCTCTGGGATCAATGCTCAGCAACTCCCGATCTGCTTTAAACAATGCCAGCTGTGAATTTGCAGCCTCTTCCAAAGGAAAGATGAACACTTCTGGTTTCACAAGCTCACTAGTATACACTTGGATTGGTTTCTCACAACCTTTCTTGTTGGTGCGAACAGCTTCATAATCCAAAACCAAATGCACACCTCTGAACTTATACCCGTTGTCGATTCGCCATCCACAGAAGATCCCAGGAAAAGTCCTTGGGTCAAAGGCAGGAAGTTCTCTATGCTTGGGTGGTTTGTACCAAACTAATGCACCAAAAGGAATCCGGTACCCATCAAAAACATTACCTGAAGCAACTTCATAACAGGTCTTCCCTTCCTTCAACGCTTTGGACTCAGGAGTCTCATTCGGATGCACAGGACATGGATGTGTGATTGCATGTGCTACAACAAAATACTCAATGCTTCTTGGCCAAAAGGCGTGCGGCAAGCCTGACTTGAGATGGATCGCACGTGTGCCTTCTTTGATCCTTCGGATCAAGCTTTCCAACTTTGCATTGTGATACGGGTCATTCTCAATCCCTGGTTCACTCAACCAGCCCAGATGTTCAACAGCTTTGGTCAATTCTTGAGCGCAGTCGGTTTTCACAAGGCAAGAAGACCTAGGGGAAGCTCTGGTTCCAGCAAACTTCTGAAGGCACAGTATGTTCGAGTCAGTGTCTCTTGAGGTCATGGAGTAAGCTCCAATGCAACCTGAGAATTCATCGAAACAAACAAGGCATGCTTGCTCCCCACCAGCACCTTTGGTTAAATCTGCCCCCAAAATAATGTGGTCTGCTCTCATCATGTGGCCATAGTGGAGCGGAGGAATTTCATCCTCACCCGGTGCCCCCCTTGACCGATGAACCCGACCTGTCATCTTTGCTCTCTGACAAATCGAACAGTAGCGGTTTTTGGGGAAGTGACAAAGTTGATGAGTTTCACTTTTGGCTTCCTCTTCAAGGCGTTCACGGAGTGATGGGGTCCAAGGGTTGGCCTCTTCATCTTCTTCATCTAAAGGGGCATCCAAGGGTTCCGCTTTTGGTTCATCACACAACATGAGTTCATCACCAAAATGAGGAAGAGTTTCTGGTTTCTCTTTCAACACTTTATCACTAACCTTTGGCAAATCTACTGGTGCTTCAACACGAGGTTCTGGCTCCGGAACAGGTGCTCCCGCCGGTCTATCTCTTGATCCTGAACTCGGACCTCCAATCGGTTCCGTATCTGAATCAAAGGCGACGGAATCGACGCGAATGCAGTTGCAGCAGCTACGGAAGCGGCTCCGGCATGACTTGAAGAACTAGCACCAGTACCTGACTTCAAACGAGGTTTCGGGCCTTTGTACAAGTTCCCTTTGTCATGGAGGAATTCACAATCCTTCCCGCGAGTGCATGAATCGTATGCGAAGTACATGCATGGCAGTTTTGCTTTCTGCTCCTTGGTCAGCGGTGGCTTGTCCTCCTTGTTCTTGCCTTTGCCATCTTTCGCTTTCCCTTTTCCTTTCTGGGCAAATGCTGCATCAACATTCTTGTCTTCATCAACCTTCTTTGATGCCTTGGGCTTGTCCTCTTTCTTGACCTTTGTGTCTTGCTCTGGCTTCTTTTCTTTCTCTTTCTTTGTCTTTTCATCTTTCTTCTTCTTGTCTTTTGCTTCTGCTTGTGCCCCTCCAACCTTTGGATCTAAGCCTGCTGAGGTGAGAGCTTTGTCCATTGATGTTGTGTTCAAATCCATTTGGGTTATCTCAATGGCTTCACACATCTTGCTATACAACCAACGGCTGGTTCGCTTGTAGCTACCAGTGTTTGCTTCCCGAAACTTGTCAATTGCAAGTGCCATTTTGGGGTGATTCTTGAGGCTTTCAAACAACAACGACCTCAGCGACGTTTCAGCTGGCATCTCACTAGGTTCAAGAGCGCCTACGCAAAAGTCATATCGCTGTCGAAAGTCTTCAAGTGCCTTGATGTCACTACCATTCATCTTCAAGGACAAAAGGTGGTGCTGACTAAGTGCCGTTCCGCGGTCGCGATCGAGTCGAAACTTTTGGAAGATCAACCACAACAACTTGCGACCTTTTGGTTGTTGATCATGTGTCTGACATCTCTCTTGGTGGGTCTGAAACTCCAAGGCGAATTTTGTGCCTTTTGCTGCTTCTAGCAATTTGGCGCCTAGGATTCGATCCAAGATGGGGAAGTCCTTTGCATTGTTGAACTCTTTACCATCTTCCGAGATGTTGCAACGATTGATCCAACGGAACACGACGCTTTCATCATTCTTGGCAAACTTGCAAACCCCACTGAACACTGCGTTTCGGAAACTCCGGCATTTTGCTGCGTCTTGAGGCAAAGCAGGAATCTTTAGATAGTCATACTGTTTGATACGCATTAGTCGTTTCTCTCGTTTGTAGGGGTCCTCCGAATCGCTTGATGAGCCATCTCCACTTGGGGATTTTGGTGGTGAGTCTCCGCCCCCTCCAGGGTTTCTGTTTGAACCCTTTCCTTTCGAGTCACTTGAAGAGGATGAAGAACCACTTCCTGGCGGCGATCCGGGGACTTTGCGGCGGTCTCTTGATCGGTTCGATGATGGCTGATTGCCCGATTGCACAGGGTTTGCCGTCAACCCACCAATCAATTGCTGCATTTGAACGGTCAACTGATGCACTTGCATTTGCAAAGCAGTGTTTTGGTCACTTTGGATTTGAAGTCCGATCTGATCATTTAGCAAGGCAGCAGGAGGCAACATTGGATTTGCCTTTGGTATCTCTCCTGCACAAGCGGACTGAGTTGGTGAAGGTGCCAAATGCAGCTCTTCACCATTGGTTCCTGTGGCGATGGGCGTCAATGCAAACGAAGGCAACGCGACCAGCGAATCTTGCATTGGTTGACCCTGGAATGCGACCGTGCCAGGATGGTAGGATTTAGGAGTTGCAATACTATGCACCACCGGAACCAATTCACCCATTCCATGAACTTTCCTAGATGGACTTGGCTGACCAACACTTTCAGGTTTCCTATCAACGAATGAGGTTGCCTTTGGCGGCGGACTACAAGGATGGATGGTGCTTGGTGCCCCTGGAGTACCACTCTTTGCAAGGGACTGCAACCTTTCATCTTGATCCTTGATCCTCCTCATCATTGCTTCCATTTGACCCCTCATTTCATTCATCTGCCTAGTGGTGGACTCTAGTGCTTTCTCCCTTTGGTTCAATGCACCGGTCACTTCAACCACCTGGTTTGTGCGATCAATCACTAAAGCCTTCAATTGCTCAATCTGGTTCTGGTAATTAGCAACCTCTTGATGAGACTGATTCATCAAACGGGTAGCTTGACCTTGGGTTTGACGGACCAGTTCATGGGCTTCTTCTTGAGACTGCTGAACCATGCTCCTGGCAGTGGATTCTACCGCCTGGATTTGAGACCTGGCTTGGTTTTCAATGGATTGAACTTGACTCTGGATTTGGGCTTGAGCATTAGATTCAATACCCTGGATCTGCTGAAGGGCTTGGTTCCTAAACTGACTCTCCATTGCTTGGACATACTGAGCAGTCTGGTTCCTCGCATTAGCTTCAACTTCAGAGGCGTATTGAATGGCTTGACCCTGCACTTCGGACACGACCTGGTGAGCCTGAGCTACTACCAGAGGGTTCAAATCCAAAAGATTGACTGACCTGGCATCGGTGAAATGAGACGATTGGTTGCTTTCGAACACAAGCTGTCTTGCATCAATATGACCGATGGTCGGTTGTTGGTATTCAACACCCGTCCTTGCTGTTGGGTTTCCTTGATTACTTTGAACCATCGATGAGTGAGATGTTTCTGTCAGGGACGACAAACTCGTATCTTGGATAGGAGTTGCAATGGCTTCCCCAAACATGACAATCTGTTCACTCTCCGGTGAACCATGCGCACTTCCTCCTGATCCCTCCATCGCTTCTTTTCAAAGATCAAACGACGTCTACTCGGCTGCAATGAAATTCTCAACTGCCTCCTTCGTCCAGCCGTCGCTCAACCAATTGGCGTATGGATACGCAGATCCGCTGTTCAAGCTCCTCTTCCGTGAAAGCTTAATGTGAATCCCTGTTGCCCTGTCGGTGGCCAAAGTGGCTTCCAACTCAGATAGGATATCAGCACTGTCGTCGATCAAACAACAAGACAAGTGATCCCCCAACCGTTCGGCAAATCTCGAGATAACTGCAGCCTTCCCTGTCGGACCGTCCGGCTCGAACGTACAAATGATCCCGTCAAACAAGTGATGAATCCCTTCGCTGTTGCTCCAAATGTCCTTGCACGCTTGATAGCGCCCCGAACTCCCAGTGAAAGAAAGAACGAAAACAAATGGAATACGCTTGTGATCCAATGCAAACTGTCTGAACTTCTCGACCGCCTCAATGTTCTCAACTCCCACGCGACCTGTCTGTCTGCAAGTATCGCTGTGATCCCTGTCAAGAACCTGATGGTGATCAACAAAAAGGACCTTAACCTGGCCAATGTCTGCAACTGCTCCCAAATGCACTTCCTGTGACTCCCAACGAGTATAGCGACTCTCCGCTGCCTCAAAGGTAAGGAAATGTACCGTGTCCGGCAGAACAATCGAGACTTGAACTGGCTCTGGCCTCCGCGGCGGTGCCTTTGCAAATGCCTTTGGCGTAAGGCCAATCACAGCAGGCGGTACCGGAACAGCGGGCTCAGGCCTAGGTGGCAGTGCCGAAGCAGCTAACCTATGCGCCTCCTCGAATCGAGCTCTGTACGTTTGAAGAACCTCCTCAACAATCGTCACCCGACTCTGTGCGCAAAAGTTAAAAGACGTAACACCGTTCAGCAAATGCGGATGTGTCAACGCAAAATGCCCCTCAGCCACGCCCTGGCGAATGAACGCCCTCTTCTGTGCTCTGCCGCTCTTTCCCGAGCGAGGGAACCTCAGAAGCTTGTGGGGCTCCTCGTACTCGGGATGCTCCGGATCGGAATAACCCCCTTCAGGCGGGGGCGGACCAGCGGGTTCAGTCGGACGACGTGAACCAGAGGAAGATGCGATGGCTGCAACGACGGCCAACAACCGATCGCAAAGCGATACGGCTGATAACCAAAAGAACACAGCAGCCGCCCCTTTTTCCCACAATCTTGAGCCAAACATGTCCGGTGAAGTGAAACGTCAATGACTGGATCATGTGATGGCTACATTCATTAAGATTCCTATGACTTGCATGTCAAGTGATACACAGTGCTTAGTGACACATCGAATGCAAAGCTTGCCTGCAGAGATGCTCTTTGGTTGTTCATGGACTGCTTCAAGGACTGCTTCCCCTGGCGTGCCAGATGCATCGACCAGGGTGCTTTGCTAGTGGATTAGGGGTGGTGGTTTCACCCCATGTCTCTCTCCTTATATACTGCTTATATTGCATTATATATATATATATACCAGGAACTTCAAAGTGACCTTTTGAGATCCCAGGTCACTTAGACTTAGTGCCTTAGAGACTCCAAAGAGGTAGGTCCTGGTATAAGGCAAACGAGACGTGTTCAAGGAAAGTGTCTAATTTGAAAATGCACGGAAGACTTATTCCTGATCTTCGCACGTCCTGGGCTTTGCACTTGTGGCGTCGGCGCGCCAGCGCCGGGCCTTAGGATCAGCGGCTCCGTGCAAACAACATCACTGTGGAAATCGACCACGGATGGCAGGCTGGGTGCTTCCAAAAGCACTTCACAGGCTGGGTGCTTCCACGCGCTCTCGGAATCTACGGATCATCATTGGGCCATGAGCCGGTTTTGAACCTCTGACATTCGCTGACTAGACATACTGGAAGGCGTGCTGCTCAGCTCGAATTCCTTTTGAAGTGGGTCTTGCAGTAACAGTAACCTTTGAGACGACCTTGCAGTGATGTAAGCCCAAATCAACAAAAGTGTTCGAATCCTCTCGAATGCATTAAGCTTCCCTACGCGACGTTTATCCTTGCATTTGATGGAAGGATTGATTGCAGCAACCTTAGTCGTGCTGCGCACAAATTCCCACCTCGAGTTTGGACCAACACCCAGTGCCAAAAAGCACAACTGATTCTCCGATGTCCCCAGGATATTGGCTATCCATTTCTGAGGGTCTTCTAGAGGTTCTGCACAGAAGCAGGATGAAACAGGCACAACTCTGCCATGCCACAATGTCTCCGTGCATCAAGACCAAAGGTCCTGGCTCCATCACATCTTCTCTGCCACCAAGCATGGCCTCCCAAGGAAGCACCGCATTGCTGACATCTTCCCGCAGAGTACTTCCTGAGTCTGCCTTGGAATAGTGCTCTAGATGACTCTAGATAATCTTCTGCACACTGGACATGTCCATGATTTGTCCTCCAAACCACTCTGTATGAGTTAAACTAGCAGAATGCCTTTCAACAATAGCTGCAACCCCGCCAAAGCGCCCGCCTTCTCTGTGGGTGCCGCGCGATCACCAGCATCGCCACCATGGCGCTGGCCGGTGCGGCTGGAAAGGAACTGATCAAGTCGTCCGCGATTGGACAAGCCTAGCGATGGCCTCCAACCAAATAGCAAAAGGAACCTAAGAGCGATGGCCTCCATTCTACTAGCGATGGCCTCCAACCTACTAGCGATGGATCGAAAACAGTGGGAAAGGACCTCTGGTCTTCACATTCCCGATCTTCCCTTGTCACTCCAATTGTTCCAGGAACCAGTTCTGATGATTGACATCTAAAATTGATCTGATCATTTAGACAAACCCGGCACACCAACACTGACGTGATATATGGAACACCAAGGTCAACATTCATCTCTTCGGAGGCTCCATGCTCCAACCCCCCGCTGAGCGACCCATGTCCAAGTCTTCAGTTCTCGCCTTCAAGGCGTTCAGGGCGTCAAGCTGTGCCTCGGATAGGTCAATCCAAATGAGTCACATGAAATCCAATCTGAATCCGATATCAAAGTGCCCACGTAGCAGTGTGTATCTGTGCCCATGTTTTGGGCATCTCTGTCCAAGTCTGGCCAAAATCTTCCTAATGACTGGTTCCGAGGCTTGCGCTGTCGCATCTGCAGCTGCACCCATGCCAGGCCATTGCGGGTGCCTCAAGGCTCTTCAGCAGCCGCTTGATGAAGGATGGCCCATCAAATCTGAGTCATGATAGTCGTGTTGCCATGTTACCTGCTTCACCACTTCAGCCATGGGGCAGTAGGATCTGGAGTCGTCACCCCAAATTGGGCTGGAAGGTGCCACCACCCAACGGCCCCGAACACCCGGAAAACCCCCGTGGCGGCAATCTAGGTCCCGTGCCCTGTGGGCTCCATGACCGGAGGTAGACCTTGTGCACCTGTCTGCGCTGCCCACACCAAGGTGCTCAAGATCGCTCCATGTTTGATTCCTGTACTGGGAGGCAAACAGTCCATTCCGGTTGTGACGGATGTCCACCCTCGAGTATCCGGGACCAAGTGACATGGAACTTCATGCAGTCTAGTAGCCATCGGCTGCAGCTCAAGACCAACTGTACTTGGCGACCATATGGCTCCGCATAGAGGAAACAAAGACTCCAGGATCACCCCATCTCTTTCCACGTTTAAGTTTTGCAAAATGGATGTGCAGCTCCCATTTTGGCTCTTCCGTGTATAGTTCGGCAGTAACGACAGGGTTTGACCTGGGCTTTGACTCACCATTTTCCCAGAACTTTGGCCGCCTTCCAATCTGGCAGCTTCCGCATATAGAGCATGTGCCTGAGCTGCCTCAATTTTCTCAAGCCATGAAGCAATGGCGTCAGTCCTAGCAACGAATAAGGCCTCAACTTAAATACAAGGTTAACTATACAAAACAGGATGCTTGCAGCCTCATGTTCCACATGATCGAAGACCTAATCACTTGGGAACCACCACCAGGAAAAAAAGAAGGAAAAGAATAATCAATAATCTACTGCATATATATATATATATTATATATATAATTATCATATGGTTTTTGGTTTACCTTGCGATTTGCAATGTCAACCAAACAGAATGTTGCAAGTAAGGTCAAATGGACTCCTTGGATCTGTATGGATCTGTCAAAGCAAAGGCGACTTTAAACGATGCTTCTGATGTTTCAACTGGTGTCTCGATGAAACTTCATTGTCCATCACGAAACACCCACCTCGAAGTTTCGATGTAAGGCGTGGTGGTACCTGCGGTGAGTAGCGCCAAATCAAGCTGACTGGGTGGGTGCACGACGCCAGAACGAACAATGAAAAGAAATGAAAAGTCAAGGAAACGAAGGAAGGAAGGAAGGAAGGAAGGAAGGATAGGTCTTTAAAACAAAAGCTTTGAAGAAGGACGAAAAGAGTCGACCAAGGAAACGTTTTCTTCAAAAAGAATGCTGTATGTCCTGAAAAGAAAGAAAGGTGGCTATAGGCTTATACGTGGCTTATTGTGGTCGGCAAGAACATCCCTTTCTGTGAAAGAGCTGAGCGACGTATCGACCTCCCCCCAATCTGGTTTTGCTGCAGGAGCACGCTGCTGCTTGAGCCAGTCGTTCTTGCTCGACATAGGCACTCCAAGCTGCTTGCTCAGTGTGGGCAGTGTAGGCCCGCACAGCTGCTTCGTACCTTGAAGACGCTTGGGAAGCCAAACACCATCTCATGGGAGCAAAAAGAACACGTGAGAGTGAACTTGGCATTCGTAGTTTGGTTGTCCAAATGCACCAAATATTTCAACGGCTCCACTAATCTCCACTATGCAGCTATGCAGCATGATCCCCAGACATTATCATCTTGGGGATGTGTCATGATGTGTCAGAACTAGGATGTGTCAGAACTAGGCGGCGACCAATAAGTTTTCTTCCTGCAATGGCAGAGAAAATCACCCCAATAGAATATTGGAGCACTTGGCAACGGTCCTTCATTTCCGTTGAAGCCACAATGGATCCGAAAACTGAAATTTGTCGGAGGAGCATCATCACTTCAAGTTTGGCGGCCAACCCCAACCGCGCTACGACCATACGGTGTCTTGTCGGTCCATCTGGGCTCCTCTGACCCAGCTCGATCACCCCTGGCATAAGCCAGCTGCGCAGCCTCTCAGCGGGATCGGAACAACATCTAGGCCCTAGGCTAAAAGTAGATGGCTCTCATTCCAAACCCTTCACTGCGTTCACGCATCACATCCCTGGGTCATAGGTCTGGTGGTGACAACAATGAAATTTGTTGACAAATCTGGTCAAGTCAGTATGGCACCAAAAACACCAGTACCTTGGCCAAGCCAACTTGGCTACCACAGTTAGTCTCTTCACTGCCCGTCTCCTCGTACGAACTCCTTGCAAAGGCCAGTGAAGCCGAAGAGTGAGCGTTGTGACCCTGCGTGGTGCCAACCGTGCAACAAGAAACTCCCGACAAGTTGTGGAACCAATTCGATGAACAAATAGATATATAGATCCATTTCATGTACAAAAGGTTCCCTGCGCTTCAACCCAATTGTGCGTCCTCACTCAACACAAACAAAACAAGATGATCATCATGCAGCGTGCCTCTCAACTTAGATGCCCACCTACTGATCTAAGCCGATCTTGGCACAGTGAGGATGCTAAAAGCCCAAGAGAAGTACCCAACAGCTGGGCGTTAAGATCCGCCTACTAAGTAGGCAAGACACCATCACAAGTTCACAGACAAGTGTCGTGTCGTTGCCAGACAGTGCTGCTTTCATAAGTGAACCTTTTCAATGTCCCACGCGCGCCGCGAGCCTTTCAACATGGCAATACGTCAGCATAGCTTAATTGTATCATGTGTCCGCATGCGCAGGCACAGAACTTCCACCACAGCCTGGTGGCCGGAACCCTCCACTCCGGAACTTTTTGCTTTCTCGGGAACATGCCCCCGAAGCTCCGGAACTTGCTCCGAGCCTGCTGCGGAACTTGCTTTGGAACCTCCTCCGGAACTTGCTCCGCAACCTCCTCCGGAACCTGCTCCGGAACCTGCTCCGGAACTGTTTTGGAAGTTGCTACGGAACTTCTTCCGGATCTTGCTCCGGAACCTGCTCCGATCTGCTCCGATGTCTTTACTATGGCTAAAGTCCCCTATATATATATATATAAGCTTCGGTGTTGGCGGAAAGTAAGCACTAACAGCTTCCAAAGAATCCTTTTACACTAACTCACTAAGAACAAAAGAGTAGTTTCATTGGCTTCACCTGGTTAATTATGTGCCACATCGGTTGCTTTTGACCTGTTTTCAATTATGTATATATATATATACATATACTGTAGATTACTGTAGCCCTTCCAAACATTCAGAACTGTGGCCATCAAGTTTATCTGTTCCACCAACCCCCAATCCTGCAATCCAGTAGCTCTGTATTTGACGTGGCTTTGGGCCTGAAGCCCCAAAGTGCCCAGTCCATGAGGAGAGCGGAAGGGGTCCAAAGCACTCGCCTGTGTCAGAAGAATACACAGAGGGCAAGGCCTCTTTTTCAAGGGCATCAACCCCTCAGCACATGGGCACTTCGGGTTGTGAGTGCAGTACGTACACAAAGCCAAGAAATTCAGCCAAAAACCGCTGGCTTGGCTGCCATACTATGATCCAGCCAAACAGAAAGTCTTGACTCTCATGGAGAGTGATCGTTCACATGCAGTACATGGGTAACTTTGGAATACGCCTGGAAGAGTTTTGTTTCAAGCCTTCGCTTTAAGGTCTTGTTCCCAGTACAGAGGCCTAACAACCCTAGAGAAAAGATGCCAACTCAACAAACCACCCGAGATCGGCCTCCTCCACCGGTGGCGGCTCCAGTTCGTGCGGCTTCGCTCGCTCCTCGACTCACCCAGTTCCAGCCACTGATCAAACACCCAAAGAAATTGTATAAATGAAATTACAGTCTATGCGTGTAACAGTGTAACAACATGTGATTTTGCAAAAACCCTTGGTCCTCACCCACGCTCATTCTTCACTCAAAGGAACCGTTTCTGGGTGAAAATGTTCAGCATGTGAAATTTGTCCGCAGCAAGGCCTTTGGAACTGCCAACATCTTCAGGTCATTGAGATAGGCGACTCCCTTCTGCCCTTCTCCCCATGTCTCAGTGATCCCGATCCAGGTTGCACACAGCCGGTACAGCTCCTGCGAGCTCTGCAACAAAGCACTTAGCTCCGGTCGCGCCTCGACGACTGCAGCTCTACATCGCTTACTGTCCGTATTTTCCCCCTCGATCCTACAAGGGTCGGACCTCGTGGATCCACTGCAAGAGTCTTGCTCAGTACATGGATTCTGATCTTGCTCAGCCAATGTTCTTATGAAATGCTGTTGGTTCTTGCGGATGACAAAAGAGCTTATCATTATCAAGTGTGTATGGAGGACAAAGTTTCAAAGAAAGCTTTGTTCTCCAAACTGAACTGGACCATACCCAAGAGAACAAAAATAAACATGTCCCTAAGCCTTCGGCTGCCTGTGACACTTGCTGTCAAATATCTTACCTAAAGCATTCTAAAGCTGGAGCCGGTGTTTGGCACCGAACCATGTTGATCACTCGGCAGGTGCAAGGATCGTTATCTGAGTGTCCAAACACCTGGGGGAGGCAGAAGATTGGCCACCTGAGTTCTGTTTGCTCATCGCTGTCACAAACAACGACGCCACACGTGTGACCCACACTCCAAAGCAAAAATAAGGAACGACTAGAATGGACTAAACATGGGGTTCTGGATGACCCTGCTCAGCTTTTGCAAACGCGAGCGACTCCAAAACAACTCCTCGAACCATTCGGGGTTCTCGATGACTGGAACCTATAGAGGCGTCGACTGACAAGGAGGTCGCAGCCAGACCTGCTTGATGAGAGTACCTTGACCAACTCCAAATCAATTCAACAAGACATACCGAGTTCCAATGCTTTTGGCCCGGGCGTCTTTTTGCCCCACATGTTGTCCAAGCAGATTTGCATATCAGCACCGCCCTTTTTGGCAACAACGTCAAAACGTCACGCCGCAACTGCGCGACTTGCCCACCGGTCCTTCAGTGGGTCATGACAACTGCAGATTGAATGAACATAAATCTATTCCGAAATCTGATCCGAGACCCGTGTCCTCCAATCACTGGTGGCAAGAAGTGTTCCAGGTTCACCTCGAAAAACAGAAAGCCAGAACAAGGCACACGCACCACTGGATCACATGTCTCTGTGTGTGTCGTCCTTTCAGCACACCTGATGCGTTTCCAGCGCATCCCAGCGTAAAAAAAGAACATTCCATGACAATCCCAGCCTCCATCAGATCATCTGATGGCTTCCAAATCACGTCAACAAAGCCCAGGCCATGGTGCTTAGTTGAGCTCCAGGGATGGCCAAAGGAAAGGAAGTAAAGTGAAGTCTGCGAATCCAGCACTGCAACTGTAAGCTTGGAAATTTGCTGCCCACTTTTTGGTAAAAAATCCTGTGACAGTTTGGGTTCGATCTTGAGATCAATGGCCTTGCTCCACAGTTCCAATCCCTGCCGACACTCCGGGCACTCAGGCTCCGGCCCAATGCGACCTTCGAGCAGCTGAAGCACCTCTTGGTGGCATCCTCTCTCAGAGCATGCAGTCACGACCGTCGCAAGGGCGATGATGTTTGGCCTGGATGGACATGCGCAAGCGCGAATCCCGAAGCAAAGCTGGCGAAAAGCAAAAAAAGCCTTCCTGCTTTAACCCAGCCTATCCCAGCCTAGTTGTTCAAATGGTATGTTCAAATATGTTTTCACGAGGTAGTTGACAAATCTTGAGAAGCTAAGGTCAGTGCTGGACCTGCCGCCTCTTCCCCATCCTCGATTGACTTAACTGACTGCCAGTCTTGGAAAAGCCCAAAAGGGTTTGATGACATGCTCGAGTTTCAGTGTGTTTCAAGGACCAGGATGTACGGAACTCTCCTGCAAATCCCCTGTCAAAACTATGCAGTCAGGACACTCCAAAAATAGCCCTAAAGCTTGCTGCCATTGATGCCGGGATTGGCATGCAGTGAGGCAGGCAGTGTAGGTCACAACGTCTGGTTGACATCCATATAAGCACCTCAGAACGAAACTCATAGAGTCTACAACAAATGTCACACTTCCCTTACAGTAAATAAAAATTCCAGCAGTATGCCCTTCTTGCATCTTTTCCTAATTCGGAGTCCTGCTCAAAATATAATTTGGTCCTCAACTCGCTGCGGACACCATTGCTGAAGCACTGTTGCTGATCCCAGCCGTGGTGCATTTCACCAAGGATATTTAGCGCATGTGTCCATTCAGAGCTCGCTTCGCAGGCGGTCACTGCAGCATTCCATGCAATCCGGTCGACAGCCTCCAGTGATGTAAGTCAGCACGTCGGAATGTGATCAAATTCCTCTCTGTGACTCTGGCCCGCAACCAAAACCAGAGCTGAATTGCAAAACAAAACAACGAGACAAGTTAGGCAAACCAAAAAAAAGGAGCGAAAGAAAATTGATCTTTGCCCGGTTTGGCATCTCTACTTACTCTTCCAGCCCCATCAAATGAACCAAGGCGCGCGAGTTCCACAAGTTCTCATGAGCAATTCAGCCAAGAAGTTCAGCGCGGTCTCCCATTGTCTTCCCTGCTGTCCGCAGGCACTGATTGCCGCCGAGCCCACAATCTCATTGACGATGATCTCCAAGAGGGGCACGAACATGCCCGGTTGTGCTTCTGGGCTTTACTTGGTGCGGAGTGTGCCCCAAATGTTTTTTTGTTTGATATGTTAGTATATTATATATATATATTAGTATCAAATTCCCAGCTTGTCTCACTGCCAGCGGGGTGCGTGAGACTGCTGGGACGGCGATGAGTTTCTTGAGGCCTTAGGGCCTAAAGGTTGGATTTTAAGTGCCCTTGCAGGGAGGGGGTAACGATTGGTGACCCTGCTCTGTCATAGCCTTTGACTGGCTCCAGGACAACCAAACTCATCTGATGACCGAAGGACAACACCAAAATACCGGGACAGCTGGTTGGTTGAGGTCGTGGAACCCAAAACCTCTGATAAGCATCCAAACCAAACCGCCCTGTTCAAGTTTGCTGGTGTTCAAACACACTGAACGCCTTCCAATTTCATCAGATTGCCTATCTGAAAACACCAAAAATCATATGCAAAATGGCCCAACGGCAAACCTGTTTCTGCTGCATCTGCAACAGTAGCTCCAGAACTGCTGGCCATTCGCTGCCTAGAGCAAAGCCGCAAGAAGCGATATCTTGCATCAAAAGAAAGCTCGCTAATGCCATGCACCCAAGGCACTATAGTGAGTTCTAGGGTCCCCAGCCGGAACAAGCCTCCTGAATTACTACTGAAAGTGAAGTGCCAGTGCTGTGGCAGTCCTTTCACCTTCTTCCGCCCAAATCACTTTGAAACAAACAACACATCGTGTTCCAACGGTGTTCTTCCACTCGTCGCCCCAAACAGGAGACCCAAAGCTCCCAAACAAACTCGCGCCTCGCTCAAGAGCGCTGATCCCCGCGCCGAAGCCCACAGCATCCGAGCGGAGGTGTCGCCTCTCAGGGGAACAGCAGGGACCCGACAAACCAGAGCGGAAAGATCCACAAGTGTTTCTCCGTCCATTTACTTTCCGGGGGGCACAGGTTCCCAAGAGCTTCTTCAGCAGGTTTTCTGGGCATGTTCATCAAAAGTTGTAAAACTACCCTGGAACAATTGTGACTTGTGCGGTGTGAACATTGCAGGCAATGTTGAAGATTTTTATATAAAGTCACTGCTCCACCCGGATCATGTTTTCATCTTCTTCCACAGCTGCTGGACTGGATACACTCAGACCCGAAAACCCATCCCAATTTGGACCTAAAAGAGACTAGTTGGTAGATGTCAATCTCAAGAATTTCGAAAAATTTCCCGGAAAGGCAAGTATTCTGATGAAGGGTCCAAAACACAACTTCCAACCAACGGCGCACCTGGGCATCTCAAAAAGCAAGCCAATGGCTCTTTCCCAGTTCACGCCGCGATAGGTATCAATGGCGGCATTGAAGCCTCAAACAAGCGTCTCCAAACCGAAGAGGCACATGAGTCAGCCGCCACCAGATTTGATTATGGTTGCGTCCGAAGCCAAGGCGTCCACACATCAGAGACATGTCCCATGCCAATCTCAGGTGTCTATGGTGTCCACCGAGTCCACCGATCCACTGCGTCCCTGATATTCTAACTACCTGTCATTAACGTACACGCTTAGCCAGAAACCAGAAGCCAAATGATCGAAGTGACCGGACCATCACCAAAGTCATCAAGCCATACCCTCGGATGAACATGATCTGATCAACCAATGTGGTGCAGCCTGATGTCACAATCATTGGCTATAAGTAAATCCTGGAAACTGTTGTTATTGTGACCTGATCTAGTGCAAATCCCAGCGGCTGATTTGGTCAAAAAACAATCCTCAGCTTCGGGACAGCCGATCAAACGAGTCTGCATTGGTCGTAGGATCCTCTTGTGATCAGCTTGCTTGCTCTATGGCAGCAAAAAGAGCACAAATTTTCATCCGCGCATGTGTGTGTTTGTGTAACCTTTGGTCAAAAGGTTCCTGTCGGAATGTTTCCTCTTCTCAGGGGGGCACAGGAAGCCCATAGAGCTGTGCCCAACGAAGCTCTCTATGGTGACCTCAGGAT